TTTAATAATATTTTAATTTATTTTTTTTATGATTTTATAAACTATTTAGCATTATCCTACGCTATAATTTTATTTTAATTATTATATATAAGATTATTAATTCTATATGTCTATATTTATTTTGTATTTTTAAATAAAAATATAAAAATTAAAATTTAATATATAAGATAATAAATTAAAAAATATATAACTTATATTTTTAATATTATAAAAATATATTAAATATTATTATTTTATAAATATATTATAAATTTAGAATCAGTAAAATTATAATGATTGAATTAAATTTTTTAATAATAAATTATTATAATTGCAAAACTTCGATAGAAAAAAGGTGCAGTTTCTAAACTGTAATAATGTGTATCATGCATTAATTTCAGGTTTCGACGCAATGCTCAAACACGAATCACGAACATGTGCTTGTTTGCTTTCCGTTCTGCGGCTAATTTGTCTTTTTTCCCTAGTTTTCTTGTATGAAATCCACGAGGAGAAGATCTAGTCTACGCTCCCCCAGGAAACGGGTCCATCTTCTTCTCATCCAAAGCCCGTCACTCACTTTTCTCTTCCAAGCAACCCAGCAAAGACCCCCACACTCTCTCGCACCCTCAGGACCCGGAGGACCCTCCCGGAGATTCTTGGTCTGTAATTCTCTTCTCCCTCCTTCTCCTGTCTTCTTTTGTTATTTTTTTTTAGAAACTCCTCGTCACGTCTTCGGTAAATGATACGTGTTGATAATTTTATACACGTCGGGTATAATATTTTATATCTGCTCCAATTGTGGGGGTTTGTTGAGGCGTGCGTAACTCTCTATCTTGTAGTTGAAAAAGTTGCTTTCATTTCCCTTTCTTCTTTTCTAATTTTCGATTGTGGGTTGGGGTAGGTGGGTTAACTTTCTTTATCACCGTGAGTTTTTCCTCTGTGGATTTCGCTGAGTGTGGGTGTGAGCGGAAATGGGTTCCTTTGGAATGCTCGCGAGGAGAGCTTTGGAGACTGATATGCCAATCATGGTTCAGGTATATCTAAGTATTGTCTGGGTTTTTGTTTTTTTGTTTATATTCGTATGAAACATTTATATGTATGGTTGTTGCTATGCGTGAAAATTGTATTGGGTGAAGTTATTTTTAGGTGAATTTATCTGGGATATGGTTTGTGCAGATACAGGAATTGATCCGAGGAGCAAAGCATGCTATTTCACTTGCTCAGGTTTGTTGTTTTGTTTTTAGCAATTTTGGGTTCTGTGTTTTTCTTATGTTAATTTGATATGAAGATGGATGGACGCATTGGAAACAGAGATATAAATGGTCTGTTTTCCAGTATCTAGGCATGATTTTTTTTTTTCTTTGGGTTATCTGAGCAATTAGGACCATAGAAAATGGTGAGAGCTTTGTTTAATGGCCTGAATAGGATGCGTTTGATGTCATATTTTTCTTTCTTGGTAAAAGTGCTTTGCATTGGTTCAAGAGAGAGTTTTTGACTCTGTTTCTCGTTTGAAAATGTTTTTAGTTTTTAATGCACACACATATAGACACATGGAAGAACATGTGATCTTTGAAAACAGAATGAAAATAGCGTTTAGAAAATGAAAGTAAGAAGATGATGAGTTTAAAGATACTATAAAGTTGCTCCAATATTTTTTATAAACGGTTCTTTTTGTTTTACTGAACGACTGCAAACATACACACATAATATTCATGTTATTATGCATTAGCCTGTATGTAGGAATCAAAAATTAAAAATTTCATTTACCAAAGAGCGTCTCTAGTTATTTTACATTTTTGTAATGGGCTTTCAGTCTTTTTCAACGCTTTCAGTCTTTTTTTAATACAAGGGTATAAGAAACTATTGAGAAACTAAAGCTAATGGGTACATTATATTTTTTACAACGCATTTCCGTGGATGATTTAAGCATATATAGCTGGAATTTCTTTAACTTTCGGCTTAAGCAAACAAAAAATAAGATGAGAGAACATTGGATGTCAAAAACTAGTTGCCATATTAATGTCCCAAAATTCAGAAATGGTTTTATTTTCTTATAATAAGAACCTGACTTGAAGTTCCAAGGTAAGATTATTAGGAGTTGTTTGTGAAGTCCTTAAATCTCCATCACTTTTTCCAATCACCTGAAGTTGAGGCAAGCACCGGCAACACATATTTTCATATAGTTATTATGAAACTCTAGCATGATTAATTAGTTTTTACTATCAAAGAAGAAAGTTAGCGAGGCAGGGTTTGCCATTCTGGTTCTAATTTTCCATGTATACCTTGGTTGATGACATTTTTTTTTTGAGAAAATCTTGGTTGATGACTTACTTTGACAATATTGCATTTGCTATTAATCCGTGTCAGAGTTGGGGTGTTTTAGTTAAATGGTTTCAACAAAAAAATTCTTGTATCAGTGCCAATCTTATTGACTCCAGTTTCTGATGAAATAGGGAGTAGTTTATTGGCAACCACCAAAACAGGCATTGGATAAGGTGAAAGAACTTGTATGGGAGCCTTCAATCAGTCGTTATGGTGGTGATGAAGGTCTTCCAGCACTAAGGGAGGCCCTGTTGAAGAAGGTAGACATTTTAAACAGCTTTATCAAAATTTCTGTTTAATGATCAACTTAGTTCTTGTAGTTTGTATTCAGTAGTTAATTGCATGGCATGGGTAAGCATGTTTGCTCCTTTTCCCAATACTGAATTCTAGTAGTGTAATCTGGTATACAGGTTGGCTTGAAGGCTAGTCCAAGCTAAATCATGAAAGTAGAAATGGCTCCTAAAAATCTAAGTTGTTCTGTCCTTCTATTGAATATCTCAACCTGAGGTTGCACTTGTTTGATTGATAAGTTTGATGAGTTAAGTTGGATTAATTGCTTTGTGCCTAAATACAATATGGATTGGTAACTTGTATATGCTTGTATCATTAGCATATGTAATGATGAAAATTTCTTATAAAAGCTAAATAACTAAAAATATTTAGATTTTCTTTGACATAATTTGGTACCAGATGAAGTAACTTGCAAACTATATGGTAAAACATCAAGTTAGCATGGGTTGAAATTTTCGTTTCCTCATTTAAAAGGAAAAAGAGAGTGCAATTGTTTGTGAAGTTAAAAATTACTCTGCCCTTCCTAAAAAACACACATTCAAGATCAAACCATATTTCTCCTTATTTATGTGCAAAGTTGCTATCTGTTGAAGCTGATCTTCTTTCGTCATTTCCAGCATAATGCTACATATGTTTTTAGAAAGGTCAACTGCTTTGAACTTATAACCATTCCCATGTAAAGTGTGCCTTCTAAGATTTCACCAACTAATTTCATTAACCTGCCTGTGAAGTCATGTTGAAAGGAGACTGGTGCTTGAAAGATACTCTTTGTCTGGAGAGTTGTGAATTTTGTATTTCTAAAATCTATATCCGGCATCTAGAAAGTCAAAACCCTGCCACTTAGAGTAACCCTTGTAAGTGTTTCACCAACTAATTGTACTAACCTGCCTCTAAAGTAGTTGTATTGATCTGAAATTGGTGCTAGAGAAGATACTCTGTGTCCAGAATGTTGTGAGTGGTGAAACTGTTTTGAAATTTCTAGTCATGCTAAGCTTCTATTTTGCATTTGCATCAAGAAAACAAGTTTTCTGTTGGCTGAAAACTATTCAAAGCTTCTGTTTCAGTGTTTCAAGATTGAAATGTTTTTGTCCTTATTTCTGTAAAAGGCGGCCTTTGCTGCAAAGTATTATCTGTTTCGGCTGATGTTTTACCATCGTCTCTGATTTCTCGATCCTGATGCTGTATCTAGCTCTTAAACAGTTATGTCTTCAAAGCCACCTCATGTAAAGTACAGTTTCTAAGATTTACCAACTAGTTATGTTGACGGGGCTATGAAATTGTATGAATCTGAAATTGATGCTCAAGAAGATACTCTTTGTCTGGAAAGTTGTTAGTTGCAAAATCTCCAACAGGATGCTATGTATAGCTTCTTAGATAGGTCAAATGCTTCAGAATCAAACCACTGCCATGTAGAGTGCTCGTTATAAGATTTCACCTGCTAATTCCTCACTCAACTTCTTCTTTGGTGTTCAGAGGCTAGAAGACTCTGGGATTCTTTTTTCAGTCTCCTTTATTTGTATTGGTTTGTTTCAGGTTCTGTTGCTGGCAATTTTGGCCTTGGTTGTGATTATGCACTTGTAAATTTAATAAAAAATTCTTCATTCTCATTCTTGTTTCTAATTTTTGGGTTATTTGGAAAGAAGGGAATATGAGAGTTTTTGAGGGTACTTGCTCTCCTTTTGACAGGATTAGAGATAACTGGTTCCACACCCTGAATATTTGTTTACAGGGCATGCTAAGCTTGATGACCTGGATTTTTCTAACATTGTAAATTTTCTCCTTTTCTCTCTGAAAAAAGAAAAGAATTCACCAACTAATTATGGTAACCTGCCTGTGAAGTAGTTGTATTGGTCTGAAAAGGGTGCTCTAGAAGATACTCTCTCTGGAAAATTGTGAATAATGAAAGTGTTTTAACATTTCTAGTTTTCTATTGTCTTGCAGTTGCGTCAAGAAAACAAGATAACCAAATCCTCGGTGATGGTTACTGCAGGTGCCAATCAGGTAAGAGTGATTTCTAAATTTTATTTTGTTTTATTGCGTGGAAGATCCATATAGATTCCTCAATCCAACAAGTATTAGGTTTTGAAAAGATCAATGTTAAATTGGATGAGAAGCACTATTGTGCTTGATTAGTATATATTGAGTGTTTCTTTTACTTTCTCATTCTAGATGCCTAATATGTAATTCAGTTGTCAATATCTGTGCATAGAGTCAAACTCTTGTGGGGCTCAGATAACAGAGACAGAATTTCCTTTGTAATATGAGAATAAATATTTCCTGGGCTTGCTGTCTGAGTATGTCATGTCCTTAGAGATAACATTTAGACTTTTCAATAACTGATGTGGTTGAACCTTCAAATCTCTCAGTTGCATGTATATATGGAAATCTTTGAATTCTATGTTGGAAATCTGTCTTATTTGTATGTGTGTGCAGATATCACATGCTTGTGTGTTTCTTGTATTCCTTTTGTTTGCATCCTTGCATGTATGGTTGTTCTGCTAAATGTGATAAAGGTTATGTGAGTATAAAGCAAGCAGTCTTTTAATATTAGTTAACATATTGCGGTTTTCCTTCAGAAAAAAATAAATTTGATATTTAGGTGTTTGAACCTTCTTGAAATAATTGTTTACAGTATCGTTGATTTGAAACACACAACTATTGCTTACCAACTTCATCTTTTTACCTTATCTCTCTTTGTTTAAAGCGCTGGTTTATCTCTTACGTGTTTCACTTGCAGGCATTTGTGAATCTTGTCCTTACCTTGTGTGATGCTGGTGATTCTGTGGTTATGTTTGCACCCTACTATTTCAATGCCTACATGTCCTTCCAGATGACAGGTGTCACTAACATACTGGTGGGTCCTGGTCACCCAAAGACTCTCCATCCGGATGCAGGTATGAAGTTAAAAGCTCTTCATTCTTCAATATTATTTTTATATCCGAACTTTTTGAGCAAGTGGTTAGGAGTAACCTATAGGCTATATTATTCTCCATGTTCTTTTGATATTTGAGAAGAAAGAGCCACTATAATTATTTAACTTGAGGTGCAATGAGTTTTTTGAAGTAACTGTTTTGAATGTTAAGTTTAAACTAAATTATTTTGTAGCTTGGTAGACTATTTGAGTTTTTTATTCTGTATCAGGAGAATTCTCTGTTTACCAAATACCGGTGACATTTTTTTTTGTGTAGAAAGGCAGGGGGTTACAAGAAAAGTAGGATTAATCAGTATAGTTGGGTGACCCAGTACTTAGTGAGTTATTGAGTGCAGGGCCCACCTCCACCTAAAGGAGGAGAAGGCTGATCACTTTGGTCAGGTAGACTGTTCCCAGAGGAATAATTAATCATTTTTGTTCCTGAAGTTCTATCACAAATCTGGAACCTTAAAGTCAGGGGTTTTGTGGGGATTTGTTTTCGATATCCCAAAGTTACAATCCCAAATCATAATTTGCTAATTGGTTCAGCTTTTTGTGCCTTTTATTCCTTATAACTTGTTTAGATAGATTTTTCATGGATGTAAGCATTCTATAAGGTATTTTAGAGTGTTCAAAACTCCTGCAGGATTGGTTAGTATTCCAGAGCCATTTAAGAACGTGTTCCAAAAAGCCTGCATAAAAGGGTATGTTTGTCCAGTTTTCTTTACTATTTTAGTTCATCACACTTGCAAAAATGCATGGTTTGTTATGTTTTTTAGTTCATCACTAGTTCTATTCTCTAGTTACTGCTTGTTATAATTAAGAAAGTGGCTACAGGATACACATTTTCTTCTCTCATTGCACCACTTAGTAGCCGTTGTTTGGACTTTCAGATTGGTTAGAGCGGACACTTTTGGAAACAAACCAACACCAAAGCTCGTTACTGTGTTACCCTGCAACCCATCTGGGACCTACATTCCAGATC